CACTTGAAAATTTTTCACAAACATATGGTACTTGTTGTCAACGAGCGTATGTGGATGCCTAGATTCTCAACAGCAGTCAGGCACTTAGCAAGTCCTTGCTTTTTCATGGGGACATTGTAGGGGACTTTGGGTGATGCTGAACAAAAGTGTTCAGCACTTGTTAGCACTTGAAAAGTATACTAGTAGCACTGCAAGTTTAACTCTCCAACTTGCACCAGCTCAGTGTGTAAAATACAGCCATTCTGCATGGCAAGCACACTGTATGTGAGACACTTGGCGCTGTAGCCAGGAGAGTCGCATCGCCCATCACTGAGTGCATCCACAATGGCTGCTTGTTTTTTTGAGGAAGAGCTGGAAAGACAGGTGGCACAATGCATAGGTTATTTTAGTATTCCACGGTATATTCAGGGGGCGGAAACTCCCTGTACCTCTCATGTATTCGGGGAGGGCGCGCTGGTCGCCGAAGAGAGCGGACGCGCATCATGTCGGTTCCGTCTTCCAAGAACTATTTGCCAGTGATCTTCGGTCATTCAGCCCGTGAATTTTACAACAACGCGTGCGGAAAGTGACCAGGATTCCATTGATATCAAAATTCAAGGTTGGAAAGGACTTTTTGTCGGATTCGAGAGGTTTTCAACCCGCGCCCCTTTGGCCCGATGCTCACGCAAGCCGGCCACCCGACGAGACGCGTTTAGCGTCTCCTCTGACGCGGGCACTTTCTTCACTCATCAAAGATGGAAGTCCAAGTGAACGGGAAAGATATCTCACCCGAAGAGTTTCTGGAGGGCACGGATTGGTGCACCATCGGATCTAAGACCTAAGTTAACCGCGCAAACGCGCAGAGCAACACCCAGAACGGAGCCCCCTCCTGCACCGGCGAGGGAGCGGACTGCAACCGACAGCCTTCGCGTCGACAACCACGTAACATCAAGCAGCAAGTCATTAGAAAGAGCAAAATGCCACTACTCCCACGGAGCGATTTCAAGATCGTGATACGACCACGAGGAGGCCTTGACGTGGCCACCACTGGAACCGTGCGCCTCGCATCGGCAATTTACCGTGCGGCCAACGTACCGGCGCACGAAGCAGGGGAGGACACGGTGTGCTCCAGCAACCACCAAAACGTCATCGTCCTGAGGACACCCCATGTCTCTCATGCCGATAAGTACAGACAGCTTTAAGCCATCACCATCGGCGACCGCCGCAACGAGGTTAGTGCATACGAGACGGCCCCAGACAACACGGTGAAGGGAATAATCAAAGGCATCCCGTTGGAAGAAGACGCCAAGTCCATTCATACCAGCATCGTTCACGCACGTAACCCTTACGCCCTGGCAGCCAAATGGCTCAGTAACACCCCGACCGTCATAGTGGCGTTTGAAGGACCGCAGGTGCCCACTTACGTCTGGTACGGCGGTGCTCTCCTTCACTGCACCTTGTATCACAAGCAAATCGACATGTGTCACTGCTGCGGGAGACTTGGTCACCGCATGGACGTGTGCCCAAAGCCCAAAGACAAAGTGTGTCGTGGTTGTGACGCCCCTAACCCAGGCCCCAACCACCAGTGTTCCCCCATTGCAAGCTGTGCGGGGGCGCACACATGACGGCGGACCACAACTGCCGTGCAAGGTACAAAACGCCCTACATCGGGACGAAGAGACAATGGGAACGACGCAGGGTCAACGAGGAGGCAGAGGCCACTGCCACCAACTATTCCACCAGCAAGCCCCGCTCAAGATCCAGGACACCCAGTCCTAGCCACTCTCGATCTCGTAGCCGCACACCGGGACCCCGAAAGCAGCAGCAACGCCGAGCTCGCAGCCGAAAACCTGGACGGACCCCAACGAGGGACGCCAAGGCAACAGATTCAGTGAGCTTTGCAGATGTGGTCAAAGGAAAACGCGCAAAAAACGCGGAGGCTGGCGGCAAAACACACACTAAGATAGAGGTGGAGATAGCTCAAATAACACAGACGATACAAACTATGAGAAAGCAAATGGAATGCATGTAGGCACAGATTCACGCAAAGGACGAACTCATACAAAAGCTCCAGTCTGCCGCTCACAGCGAGACTGATCAACAGGCAATGCAGGAAACACAAGAAGAACTAATTGAGGATGGTGAGGTTGAAGGCCCTGATACTAAACGTGTGCCGGCTATCTCTCTTAAAAAGTCAGTTCGTTTCAAGCATACGTGCGCAGCAACAGGCGACACCCGAGTGAAAGCACTCGAGGCTCGCGTGAGCAGTCTCGAAAAAACTATCACCGCGACTATCACGCATACGGTTCAACAGAGCTTGGAGAGCATTTATCTCAGATTATCCAGATTAGAAGCTGCCAACAGCGCGCTGGTGACGTCGCATAGCGAAGCGGCGCCACACATGTAGTACCACATAACCATGGCAAGACACCCTTCGAAACAAAAACATACAATATGGTAGTGGAACTGCAGAAGTTATGAAAACAAACAAGCGCACCTACAACAATACCTGAAAACGATCCCCGAACGCCCAGACATCATCATACTGCAGGAAACAAACGGCCCCGCCAAACTTTCAGGGTACTAGTCTATAACAGGCAAGGAGGTAAATCCAAACGTCACCACACTGGTCAAGCGAGAGCTCACGGTTATCGAACACGACACCCAAATCAAGAATATTGAAAACGTCCTCGTAGAGCTAATTCCACCGCGTAAGACGCCCGACAGCATCTTTGTACTCAACGTCTATAGCAGTCCGAGATGCCGCAAACACCGCTTTCACGTCCTCTTCAAACGAGCACTCAATATCGCCCAGGGGCAACAACTCTTCATTGGAGGCGACTTCAACGTGGTGCATACGGCGTGGGGTTACAAACACATCAGCCGAAAGGCAGGCATTTGTGGAAAACGGCGCAACTCGCCGCCCTCGAGCTGGTCACTGACCCAGCGGCACCAACTAGGCAGGGCAACAGCGTCAGCACTGACACCACACCGGACCCTACCTTTACGTGCAATACACGAGAGGTGACTTGGAGAAATACCGTGCAAGACTTGGGCAGTGACCATTACATTATCTCTATAGAAGCAGAAGGCGGCCCACAGGAACACAATGCCAGTCGCCAAATGAAGATCATCAATTGGGAACTACTACGAAAAAATCGAGACAAGCAACAGATTGAAGACATCAGAGACATTGAGCAATTGACCGACCAACTTCGGCGCGACATCAAGAGGGCGACGCAAATGATTCCGTCAACAGCTCGGCTTGATAGAATAGACACCCGGTCACTGCACATGTGGCAAGCCAAGACCCAACTGCATCGCCGTTCGAAACGACAACGACATAATAGGAGACTACGCAAACAAATAGCACAGCTCAACAAAGGAATAGAAAAGCACGCACTTAACCTGCAACAACAGCAATGAGAAGAGAAATGCACGCAGATGGATTGTCAGCTCACTACGAGTCGCACATGGCAGATACTGCGGTACCTCATAGATCCCGCGAACACCAAGACCTCACAGAGGCAAGGTATATGCAAAATCATACACGCTTACGAGGGAACGAAGCAAGATTTCCTACGGGAAGCGGAACTCCATTACATATCCCAAACGCCCCCGCAAGTACATCCGGACTACAGGGTAGAAGGCAGCGGCATCCTAGACGAAATTCCAAGATCGGTACGCGAGCAAGTATACGTACCCCCATTGCGTCGCAACATGCACCCCCAAAACCATACGGGACGGCGTAAAGCCAGGGCACAACGCATTAATCAAAGCTACTCTAACGACACTGAAGCGGTTTTCAATGATGCCGCGAGTTATACGAATAAAAACAGTTTTGTGGCGGTAGTTACCGGCCATCGCGGAAAATACATCACAAGCCTCACTGTGATACGGCACACGCTGAAGCGGCAGAGGAAGCGGCTATAGCACTGGCCCTCACACAGACCAATGCCGCATACGTGATCAGTGATTCGCAAACAGCAATTCGCAATTTTGCCAACGGACGCATCTCGCAAGAGGTTTCACATACTCCAACGACATCCCATACATCCAGGAGAGGTCGACTTTGATAACCGAAGGCACCTGTTATGGATCCCGGCACGTACCGGACTGAGCACCCCCAACGAAGCGGCTCACCGCGTTGTTCGAGGCCTCACCCTCCGAGCATCGCCGGAGGACGACGAGCCCCAGCGGGGAACTGCAGACATCTGGGCATGGGAGGATTGTATGACCAGGTTGCACGACATCACAACGCATTACCAATTACAAAGACGCATATACACATCTCCTCACGAAGGGCTAAACAGAACGCAAGCGGTGCACTTCAGACAATTACAAACAGATTCATACAGAAACCCTAAACTCATACACGCCATGTATCCAGACATATACACTACAAACAGATGCACGTCATGAGGCGAGGTTGCCACCCATAGTCACTTGCTGTGGGAGTGTCAGGGCCTAATAAACAATTCAAACAGTGCCGATTCGTCTCACTCTTCCACCGCCAGCCTCTGTTCGCGTTGGAAGGCTGCACTGCTCAGCTCGAACCTGACAGCACAACTCTGGGCCGTCCAGCGTGCCGAGGAAGCTGCTTCGAGGCAAGGTCTCGGAACCGCATCCACGGTGGGTGCCCAGGCCCACTAAAAAACGCCGGACTCGAATCGTCTGGATTCGACAAATAAAGTTCATGTTCTTCCCGTGTATTCGCTCTCGGAAGCGGAAGCGCTTCTTTTACCACTGGCGGTTGACGGGCATCCTGGTAGAAATAAATCACGAACAGAAAATTTCTTTCATGACGTCGCTGGTTAGGTCGCCAAATAGAAGGAAAGGACAAAAATTGAGAGGAGGAGACTTGCCGTGGAAGCCCTCCTTTCCTTGTTCGCATGCAAGCGGAGTGTGCTCGTGCCTTCTTGCAGATCCACTGGCCGCTTGGGCAATACGGCCATAAAACTTTGGTAATCTCTGAAGAGGCAAAGTTAAGCTTACTTATTTCACAGAAAGACGAAACTCAATTGACACGAATGAAATGCTTTTTTATTGCATGTCTTGCGTAAAAAACAGGTACATACACGTAGTGTGAAAGTGTCAATCTATAGATTCAGCTTCAATTTACAACTGACATATGGACATATTGAGCAAACGTTGAAGCCAATATCTGAACCAATGTTAAAATCATCAACAATGACGGATAAGACACATATTTGACTCAATCGCGTTTGTTATGACGACGGGCGTACAAATTGAGTACCAAAGGAGACTAAAGTTCAGAGGCACGAAGAGGCTTGAAGCGATCAGTTCTTTGAGAAAGAACGTCGCTGAAAACAATGTTTCGGCAAGTTCACTTGTCCTCATGAGAGCAACAGCGTTGCCTTGACGAAGAAAAGTTGACTTGTCAAAACACTGCCTCCATCGACATTCTCTGTAATAATATTTAGAAGCATTTAGTCCATCACGTGTATTCGAGTGACATTATTAAAAGTAAGGACTCGCAAAATTTGAAACCACCGCTACAAGAATTTCATAAGCAGGAAGTGGCCTATAATTATTTGACATCATTTTAACTAGTTTCCAAAAGTAAAAGTAGCTAAAACAATGTAGTTGAGAAAATCAAATTTAAGCCTTTCAATAAACTCATTTTTTCGACAGGAGCTTGGCTGCTGTGTTCACCAATCTGTCAAGCGACACAGCACTTCTCTCAGTCCAGTCTGGCTTGCGGAGAACTGGGTTTGCTCATTTGTACTCATGCAAAATCAATACTTGCTCCAATAATTGGTCCAAGTTCTTGTGCTCACCCGTTGCTTTTAGAAAACGCTGAAAAACCTTCACGGAACTAGAAATGCCTGGGTTAGCACACCTCAAAGCCGCAAAAAACATGTGTTGCCCGAATAAGCCATCTTTGACGAATGCATGGTTTACTTGTTCGGCATAGCTCACTGTGGTTCATTCTCTGCCCGTCACAAGTTGCCGTCATTATCTTTCTCGTAGTTGACACGGTAACCGACCAAGATTTTATTTATTTTTTTATTTACAACTTACTGCGGTCTTGAAAAAGACCAAGCAGGAGAGGCACAAAAATTAAGTGGAAAACACATGTAAGCGAGATAGATGAATGATGTGCACAAAATACAGAAGCTAAGTACATTATACAAAGATATATAGATGAGCTTAAACACAGGTTAATACGACCTTCAGAACAACGGTGATGAGTCTATCTCCCTATTATACATTCACAATTGCGATAAACAGTAAAGCAAGTCGAGTACAGACTACAGTACAGACAATATTGCACGCTCAGAATGGCACATAGACTGAGATGTGAAAACCACTTCAGGCAGTGAATTCCATTCCGATACTGTACGTGGGAAAAACGAATTCTTGAACGTGTTCGCGTGGGCTTGATACGGAAGCAAACTGTGCGTGTGTCGATGTCTCGTGGGGCGTGATTGAAATGGTTGAATGTATACCGATGCATTTACCTTTGTGGAACCAGTATAAAGAGCAAACAGCAGTTTCAGCCTATCGATTTTTTGTTTATCTTCCAGGGTTGAAATGCTATTCGCCAGCATTAGAGAAGTTGGCGAGTCGGTGGTCCTATATTTGTTGAAAATAAAGCGTACAGCGCGTCTTTGCACCATTTCAAGCCGGTACTTATTTTTTTTAAGGAAGGGGTTCCATACGACCGAAGCGTATTGCAGTTTAGGAAGTATTATCATTTTGAAGGCTAGTAATTTGGCAAAAGTTGGTGACGCTTTGAGTTTATGCGCGAGATTCAGCTTCTGAGCGAGATCCAGCTTCTAATATCGCTGAGCGAGAGGCAAGAAGGAGCGGAGGCAAGCGCTACGAACGCAAGTCAATCACTCTTTGCGCTTCACCTGATTTAAAATTCACAAAATAAGGAATAAGAAAAAAAAACATATAAACAAAACAGAAGCTCTTTTGCGGGACGTAGGCTTTTTTGTTTGTAAAAACTTGTGATGGCCAATAAATGCGAACATTCACATCAACCTCACTCCATTCAACCGGATCTCAGGATGCCCAGCAAATTCTACGAGCGTGCATGTTCTTTGAAACGGGAACTAGCACCGAGTTTCCGGGGCCTGATATAATAGCAATGATGATTCATGCCGATATGCCCACGAGTACTCCACCACTGCTAGATTTTTACCACTGTACATGTTCATCATCTCAAACTCAGTTCTATCATCAGTATTCATATTGCGCAGTAAGATAAATAAGGCAGTATGCTAAAACTGTTTGTGAAACTATGATTTTTCCAGATGACTGGTTTCTACAATTTGATATTAGCATGCAAAAATATTAGGCTTCTCTTTCGCATTGTAACCAAAAAATCAGATGGGCTACTTTTGTACAAGTTTTATACAAAATGATTTCATGTTCTAAATTTAGATTACATTGACAAAGATACAGAGATGGAAGCAAATGATTTGCAATGTGTAAATCAATGGCAAAATTATGCTAAAAAAGTAAGATTCACTGTAAGGCAAGAGAAGTATAAGCATTTGTGTTCACGCTGCGTAATATGTCTAAAAGTCTTGATGTAATTATATTTAAATGTTGACCAATAACTGCACCTGTTTTACTGTAGGGAGCAAGTAGGCCCTCTGGTAGTTGTAGAAGCTGCACTCCGGGATGACTTGAGCACCAAGACATTGGAAGGTTGCAGCCACCACGCAGCTTTAGTACAGCATGCCAGCAGCCAGGAGAAAGTTGCCAACTCCAGCCCCACTCCCTCAAACAAGTGGCTGGCTTCTCCACCGGAGCTTGTGAAGTTGCTCGCACACCCCCTCTACAACGACCAGAGTTCCCATGACGCTAAAGTTCAGGTTGCCAACTAATTGGCCACATATGGAGCAGTTCATGAAAAGAGCTTTCAAACAAAATGAACTTTCATTATCTGTGGAGAGGTTCTTCCATTGTTAGAAAACCAGTGCTGTTGTCTTGATGGATACTGCAGATGAATGACCCCACAAAACATGTTAGTGCTTGTGTGTTACTAAATTGCACAATGGACAAGTCACATGGCTTGGCTGAAAGAAAGAAATAAAATTTTCAAGGCTTCATTTTTCTTTGCTAGACATAATATTAATAGAACTAACCTACCATAATGCCATGAAATGTATAGGGGACACTGATTATAGTAAATGTTGTGCAAATAAGAAGAAATTAAGGTGGACGAAAAAACTGCTTGCTAGGAGCTGGGACTGATCCTTCGACTGTTTCATAACGAGTCCGACGCTCTACCAAATAAGCTAACGCGGCAGCCATTCTCTCGTCCTCTTTATCCACTATATATGTGCATTTACAAGTGCCAGCGTGAGTCAGCGCTACTAGCAACCATGACGGCGAGTGTGAAACACTTTTTCTGCCTGTTGGTGTCGCGTAGCACGTGGTGGCGCTAATTAATGCACTTGCGTTTTAGTGCACATATGTCTCCCGTAAAGTGGACGACGGAATGGCCGCCGCGATAGCTCAGTTAGTAGAGCATCGGATGTGTAATTAGACGTTCACAAGTTCTGTCCCAACTCACGAAAAGCCATCTTTTCATACACCTTTATTTTTTTCACATTTACATTACATTCACAACTAATAATGTCCCCTATAGTTTCTTTGGCACTATTGTTCGTTAGTTCTCAATAATACGGCTTGGTTAGGTTAGTGGTAACTTAGACAATTATGTCAAAAAATATAGGTGTTATTATAAAGTCATTCCATTGTAACTGTGAAGAAAAGTGGACGAAAAAATAACTTGGCGTGGGCAGGAACTGAAACTGCGACCTTCGAATAGTGCATCCGACACTCTACCAAGTGAGCTACCACGCCGGCCATCCCCCCGTCCACTTTGTGGGATATGTATGTGCATTTAAATGTGCTAATGTCAGTCAGCGCTGCCTGTTGCCATTGCAGCGAGTGTGGGACACTCATTTTTTGCCTATAGGCATCGTACAACAGGTGATGTTCTTACGGCTGGCAGCTGACTAATATTCCCTGGCATACTACTCAATGGCATTAAGTCTGCCAGAACGAGACCCTCGCTATGAATGAAAAAATTAGGGTTTATTTAAGGGCGTGTTTTTTTTGTTAGACAATACAATGAGAACTGACTGGAAATTGTTCCAAGGAAAGTGTAGGTGGTGTTATTAAAGTAATTGTAATGTAACTGTGACGGAGGTTTTAGCCGCAATCATTATGTTGTCTGTAGCATGTGTTGTGTTGCTTAGCATGTGGGTGCTTAGCATGTGCGAGCATTGCACTATGCGAGAAAAAGTATATGAAAAGCCAGACCCACCAAAGCAAGGCTTCACTTGAACCCCATTTCCTAAATACGAGATAGCCTCGTATTTTTTTTTTTAGACTGACACGAAAAAAGTAAGACTTTCAGTGTCCTGAAAGTCTTACTTGATGGTCTGCCCTTCTTGCATTTCACCTTGCAACTAATCTAGTGATTAGTGCTAATGCTAGGCAACCTTCGAGAAGAGTTGCCGAGGTCAATCAGTACAGTGAACAGTGGGATATCTAATAGGTGTCAGTATCCACTCACCCGAAGCCATTACTTCACCTCCAAAGATACTACTACAATTTTTTATTGCTTACCGTCTCGATTAACTTAATTTCTCCAAGTACTTTTTAGAGTTTACTGATTATAAGTGCACTGGAGAAAAATTAAGTGGCCGATATAGGTAGTGTCGTTGTAGTGAAAGATTCAAGCATAATGTTGACAAATAGCTACAGCTCAATCGTGCACTAGTGACAGTTGCATTCGCGATCAAATCAGGAGGGAAAGCACTGCTAAAAAGCTTGTAGCTTTTAGCAGTCATGATGCAAGGTGAATACCTGAATTTACGGTGCTTATTATTACATTGTTCTGTAGCAGAAATGCTAACGCACCTTCAGTTAACCATTGCAGGGAACCTTTAGGTGCATCTCTTCACAACTAATAAAACGTAATTGGCGCACTTCATTTTAATAATAGCCAGAAACGCGGCTCAAGTATACTATCACAAAACAGTTACTCTATGAGCTAAGTGTAGCATTGTTTGGAAGTCTTATATAAAGTAACTGGCAATGTCTTATACAAAAGAAGTTGGTGTATTAGCACATAAATAATGTGTGAATAGTGTCACATGAAATCATTTTACTGTTTCTTTGTGTCCACTGTGAAACTGATTTGGTGTGGCAGCCCCTAGTATATACTGCGAAAAATGCAGTTTACTCGTGTTTCAGTGTGCCCCTTTTTATTTGGTGAACATATGAAAAGAAATGCTTGTAATAAAAGAAAGCGTTCCTGAACCACAGTGTGCTTTCGTGTGAAATACGTCTTATGCTTTCGGCCGGGCTGTTCTAGTCAGGCATAGGTTTCTGCATAAGTGCCATACTAATCTTACCGCAGGGCCTAAGCGCACTTACTGCAGGGGAATTAGAGGTTGTAGCAACATCTAAAAATACTGCTGTATTATAGAGCATCATCAATTGCAAATGAGTACCAACATTCTTCGTTGTTGTTGTCTTAGAAATCCACTTGTCTAGCTAATGTCAATAAAGAGGCTTTATAGATGCTGCTTATATACCCTAACCCTTATATAAGATGCACTCATAAAAGAGACAAAGTGGCATAAGAGAAACCAGTGTGCCTACTTTGAAATAAGGTTGATAAGAAAATTTGCATGATTCTTCAATTGCTCCTAAGTGCATGTCTCTTATACAGGTGCTCAACGAGACCCATGCCCTAGGGGCCAGCCCTACCCTCCCTGAAATTTGGATGGAGGGGTGCGTTCTACCAAACATGAATAATAAAATACGGGTTTTTAAAGGCCCTCAGCAGGTGGGCCACTCCTGAAAATTTTCTCGCAACGGGCCTGAATTTAATTGTACAAGATCTTATATGCATCATTAAAAAATCTACAGGTTGCCCTGTAATGCATGAAAGTATCTCGACTGCCTCGTCACATTCATATAGTTTTAAAACGCACAGGTGAAAAAAAAATAAGCATGTACTGCAGAATGGTTTATTTGTGTTCTGGCAAAAATACGTGAACTGTCATGAACTAATCTACAGCGCACTAGCTCAGGCTGACCTCTCTGCCTTCTAATAAATTCTCACAACTACTCTGAGGTGAAATGTTTCAGGGAACAAAGGGGCTTAATTTCCTTTGTCGCAAACATGAAAGGGCATACACAACCACAGAGATTACCTGTCTCACGTGGTGGTTTCAGTATGTGAACTAGTTTGTGAGTATATGCCCATCACATGTTAAAGCTCACTGAATGCTTGTAATACCTGCAGAAACTCTCGCTGCATGAAGGCAAGCATGTGATGTCAACTTGAGCAGCTGGCTTTTCTTCCTCAGCAGGGAAAGATCCGTCCATTTGGACAGATGTTTCAGCAGCTGGATTTTTTAGCGGGAGAAGATTCATCCATTCGCACAGGTGTTGACCCACCGAGAGTCCTGAAACCTCTGGGAGCTGTGGCACTGAAGCAACATCGGCTGAAGCTGCTACTGCTGCTCATGTGATGAAGCACCACACTGTGTCCGTACTGCGGATTCTGTGGTGAAGGCAGCTGCTGTCTGTGTATTAGCGGAAACAAGCACCTTCAGGATCATGTTCACCTGCGTAGCTGAGATGGTTATGAAACACTCAAATAAACAAAACTTCTTCGAATGGTGTCATGCCCGATCGTTCATCATCATGCATTATTTTCTGCTAGTTTTCTTTGTTTATGAGCTTAGGTGTGAATCCTGTAACTGAACAGCTACTGTAAATTTTATGCCTCATACGTGCATTTTTCAACCTTTAGGTCAACTTACCGACGGACCGGCATTCCATGGTCTTCCGAGTTACCACTGTACTCATGGCTGCCTTGTGCAGAGTTTTTTTGTGTGGTTGCCTGGATAGGAGGTGGTGATAATAAACATATTATGTTACACCTGCACTTTTGACAAACTATATTACACACAGTTCTTTGTGGCCACGTGATATTAAATGACTTTATACGAAATAGCTTGTGTTTGTTTTAAACAACATCATCACCCTTAGTAATATTAAAATGCTTCTGGTTTTTACGATAACTTTGCTGGTGCCAAGTCATGTTTAAAAGAACTCAAAATATTTTCTCATCTGGGAGCTGAGAGCTGTGGAAATCGAGCTGCCTTATCCGGCATCAGCTAGTTGCACAATGTGTGGCTGCATAAGAATGGTGTTACTGAGTTATTTTCTATAATATGCAGCAATGCTATGCAACACATATACATTCCACTCTAACTTTTGTGCAGTGCCAATGTACACAAACAGAGCAGGACTAACCTGGCTAGCAGAAGGTACCAAGACTGTGCCACACTCTCCGACACTTTTCTGGGGCAGTGTGTGATGCGGAAAAGGCTGTAATTTCTGTAACCGCAGGCACAATGGATGACAATGGTTTTAAGTGTTGTCTTTGCATTTCCATTCACACATTGCAATAATTCCATATAGATAGCATGAATTGTTTTATGTGTGTGTACTAAAAACATGCTGCCAAAAAAATTTTGTATAATACTCAAAGAGGCTGCAGATTTTATTGTATTAGTATAAAATTTACTTCGGCATTTTCGTTTTTTTTTTTCACATCTCTTTTGATGAGCTGCCAAGTACTTGTTAGATGTGAAGCCCGCACTTCATTGCGCTGCTGTGATTTGGTGATCATGCATTATAACGTAAACAAATTGAGTATTGCAGTTACACAATTAATTTATTAATTAAGAGACACTGTGGTGCAAATATTTCTCGGCTTCTTTGTTTTCCTGCATAATATGCCAGAATTTAAAGCTGCATGCTTATAATCGGCCCCGTAAGCAGCCATAGGCTTTTTGCATGAATTTCCCGAAGCACAGTCGATTAATTAAACCACCCATCAATCGGCACGCTTTCTCTTGCAAGGCTGCCTTTACCCATATATAAATGTGCATTCACACCGGCAAATAAATGAACAAATAAAGCATATGCGCCACAGTTGAAGCATAAGCTTAAACGCACTTTGTATGCCGGCACTGTGAGACGATTTTCTAGCGCGCCGTGCTATTACTATTCAGCACGAATACAACACGAGCAATCGGACCGTAGCCTACCAATGCCGTCGAACACGTGTTGCACTATTTCGGGGCTTTCTTTGAGCTCATCATGTATAACATGCATGCCGTACATTTGAACCTGCATTATACAGCTGGCCCTGCAACGTATACACTTGTGCAAAAAGGCAGCCTGTCGTTTCATAATCGGCTCTGGAAATCGTGAACCGGCGAAAGTCTTTCAGCGTGTATATAATTATTGCGATGTGGACCACATTGCATTGAAAAGACACAGTCATTATAGTTATGATTAACGAAGTTATAGTATTTTCTGAACACACACTTGCAAACCGCGTTTTCAGTGCGTGTCGCATGATCCGGATTGACCGTGAACTTACCTTTTCAACAGGAAGGAACAAAGACGGCAGTGCGTCGGATTTGAGGGGATGCCTCTTCACATCGCCGCACAAGCACGGAATTGCGTTCGTAGTCTTCCAGCTTAAAGTGGCGACCGCATACGCGTAAATCCCTCCGCCGATCTGATACGGGCAATCTGATGCGCTGCAGCCCCTTGGTGCGCCTGCTGTTTTTTCCAGGCACATGGTGTCGTATCTTCCCCTGTCGCCAATCAACGGACTTGCAGCCCACAACGAGGCAAGGGTGATTGATGGTGTCACAGTGTATAGGTGTTCTGTGGTGTCGAATCAACCGCGTGATGCCCACTCGTTGCGCAGCTCACGTCTACATGGAGCGTGTGGGATCCAAGCAGACAACGTTTGCCGTGTGCCGGAAGTTCCAAAGCTTAGTTGTAAACTGCGATCGTCTTCTTTTTCTTTGCGAAAATTTTTTAATCAAAATAAATTATAATGTGTTTTACAAATTGCAAACAACATTCGTTTCCTGTTTATTAGAAAAAAATACCTGCGCTGAGTGTTCTGCACTCAAGCAGATCAGCTGAAAACGATGACGTCAGTAGGGCAGATCGCGTCTCTTGGTGTGTGGGCGGTTGAAAATGCGTTTGGCCGAGTTGAAGCGATCTGCAGCGATCTCGGGCGATTCGCAACTTTAAAGATTTTTAATAAATTACACAGTTTAGGCAGAGAGCTCGAATCGGTCTCTAAATTACCTTTCGGACTTGGCCTACTGGCCCAATGTGTTAGTAAAAAAATCATCAAAACCGTTTCAGAGTCCTTTTAACACGCTCAGTTTCGCTGCTATGCACGTGCACTGCGGAGAAGCGTGAGGTAAAGTCAATTACAAATTGGCCTAACCAGCATTAACATTTTCGGCTTCACAGCTGTGCACTTGCACTGCGGAGAAGCACACAGTAAATATAAATTTACTAAACTGAAATTACCAATTTCGCGCTCACTGCCTATGTACGTGCGCTACGGAGAACAAAGGTGTTTGTTCTTTCAACGCGCTTGAAGCAATGATTGTTGTTTTCTATGAGTACTAAGCGCAGTACAGTTCCACAAAAGCGTGCGCATGTATAATTTAACATAATCATTTGGGGCCATTGAAATTACACCAGCGTTATTCTCCAATCCTAAATGACCAACGAGAAACACAGTTTACTTTCACCATATTCTCGCATATTAGCGTGATTAGAGGATGACTCGTAGCAAGTTACACAATTTTTCAGGATGCTATAACAGGCGCCAAAGAATTGAGCACTTTAATGCTTATATACATTGGAAGCCTCTGGGAAAGTATTTTCGAATCCCGGCAGCATAGCTCTTTATTATGTCACGCTGTCTGATATGAAAGGTATTTCTGGCCATTACATATTGTATAGCGATCAACTGCGCAGAGGACAGCTAAACACTTGCTGCTTACCTTTCGTGGCAAGGTAGCGCACTGCAGCTCGCTACGTCTGTCGATCGAGCAAGTATTACAGTCACCCCGGTGTTGACGAAATGGCTACGGGACAGTGATTTGCGTGCTACGTTGTCTACTAGAGAGCTGTACGATTCGCGGAGACAAAGCATGGTGTAAGAAAAACTTCACTCGAGCAAGGCCAGAGAACAGCAGGGCGCGAGCTTGAGACAGCAACACGCCAGCGCCTACGAATCTGGGGACAAATGCACGAAATATAGTCTTTCTTGGTTTTACCTAAGCAACACGACGCAAACGCCCCAGGTTTCTTGCGCATGCGCAAGACGAGGGCTACTCTTTAGTGGGCAACATTGTGCATCAATTTTTGCTGGCAACATTGTGGGCATTCCTTAGGTTTGAAGGTGTCGTGCGGCCGGGACGATGCTGACACCTCTCCTTCTAGCCACCGTACTCACGTCCCAGCAAGTGAAGCCGCCAGCGGCCATATTGCTAGAAGAAAAACATGGCGGAATCGCCATAGACCGCACGAAATACGCGCGTTGCGCGCGTTGGTTTGCATTTCCACGATAAAAAAAAAATGGGATGGAAACCACTTTTAGGTTACACCAACAAATAAATGCCTCTTCTTGTTTATGAAACAAATTATTTCATGCACCCATTATCAGCTGCACGCTTTCAGGTCAATCTGTTGTGGAGGGATATGCTTCGCATATCGAGCTTGCTGGTGGTGCAAAAGGGTTTTAGTATATATTGGGTGTATTAGGAAATGTGCCTGCAGATACTCAATATCAAGGGGAATACGGCATTTGCTCGCCTTTTTATTATATGAGCTTGGGTGTGTGTCGGCAGATTACCAGAGAATATATATAAGGAAGCTGAAATAATTAAAGCTAAAGTTAAAAAAGAGAGGTAATTAAGTAAACTGGGAGTCACCAGTAATTTTTCTAGAGTTATTGAATTATAACCAATTTACCGGCGGAACTAAAACCGAAGCACCGGTGTCGCGTGCAACCGACAAACTCCAGGAGACGTACCCCAAATGAACCATTTATAAGAAAGATTGCAGTGGCGTTAGTTATGCATAATATTTATGCATAATATTTATCATAAGTTATGCATAATATTTATATATCGTCTGCTTCCGAGTCTTTCCTTTTTCAATATGGTGGCGACCGGCGTCACTTATCGGGGCGCACCTCCACTCCAGAAGACATAGTATAGCACCTCCTTGTTTAGGATACGGAATCAGGCCTGCGACATCAGCCACGCTTTCACTTGCCGCAAGCCCACCCACTTCCGAGAGTTAGCAGAACTAAGCTGGACCGAGACGAAAGGTTGTCGGTGACCTTTACATTTTCGCAACGCTTAAAACGGTGTGCGTGAACACAGCATACGGCTGAGCCGCAGCTGAACCGATGCGAGGGTTCCCGGAGGAAACCCGAGTTGCAGTCAGGGGAGTGAGGGGGGGGGGGTCGTCACAACGACGACGACGTTTCCATCGCTACTTCTCCGTCGCCCATGCGTGAGTTGGTTCCTTTGCAGGAACTCGAAACGCTCGGTAATTTCAGGAGCCGCAGCACCTTCGGAGGCGCCGTGCATGCACATGGTGCCTATGGTGAGAACCGAACTTCCCGGACACTTTGTGCCATCCGAGCAATGCTGCGTGCCACAGAAAATGTAGCGCAACGGCTGATATGTCTCCTCAAGCATAGGGCACCACGCAAATAAAAGTGAACTAAAACTGTCACGCATCCACTTTTGACCACGGCCCTACACCCCCATCCAAGTCTTCGCAACATGGAGGAAGTAATAAAGAGATGAGTGGGCGTAACGTCGTATTTTGTGAAGCCCGAAGTAGGGAAGAGTAGAGGACCATGCTACGGCGGCTCGCGAGTGCGCCGGCGTGGCCGGCGGCTTGCCTTTGTAAACACACTGCCGGCGTCTCCCTCTAGCTGGCGCACGACTAGAGGTGTGCGCCGAGACGTCGGCGCGCCGCCGCCGACAGTTTTCGCTACACCGCCGCCGCAGCTGGTGTGTTTTTTTGGGCGCGCCGATTAGATTTTTTTATAGTAAAGCTGGCTTTATTTGGCCGTTTATTCTCTAACCAGTAAATTATCGGTCCTTTATTAATTCTTCCGTCTAGTAAACGCATCGCAATCAATTTGCCTGTCGGTTATAGATAAATACCTGGATCAGAAAAAAATTGCTTCCAAATCTGCATGTTACACCGCAAATGTAGTCGAAAGACGATAGTCTTGCGTCTGGAGAGAGTGAACGAAACGTTTATTTGATGTTCTGCGCAAGAAAATCGGTGAAGGGTATGTTGGAGGTGCTGCATTTTAGTGCCTCGAGCGTGTGGCGGAGGCGAACGAGTGCATAGAGGCACGTTATATACAAGAGCCATCTCACAGTTATCTTCAAAAACGAAGGCGTGCAGACCGCGAAGAAAGATGCGCGCCATTCTCGGAGGTGATAAGGTGTAGAACACAAAGCGACGGGCAGGTGCCACCACCGTGACGTCGTAGCAAAGCGTTGGAAACACCTTTTTTGAGCATCGCGTGGCACTGTCGACGCAGCGCGATAAACACTACATTCCTTAGAGTTACTTGTGTGTACCTCTTCTAGTAAAGTCAGACATGCAAAAACTTCGAAGTGTTGTTATGACACTTCAGATATGGGCAATTATTGCTTTTTATTTAACAATCACACAACTATGAGCGCTAAAACTTGATCGAATTGGTGGGCGCTGTGAATAGGGATGGCCGTTTGGTGCCGTTTGGGGTGTCGTTAGGGCAGACAAACAGACAAAAGTACAGACAGACAGGCCAAAATTGTTTCGTCGAAGGTCCCCAAGAAAGACTGTCGTCTTTAGAAACGTCAGGCCTGCGCGGAGGGCACACCACATTCACAGCGAGAGCTAGAAGAGCGGCCTTTCAGAGCATTTTCTAAACACTCATTGCGTAACTGCTGCAAGCACACTTGCTTGAAACCCACTACGGCAATAATAATAAAAATTTTAGTGTAGTAGGCTGGTATTCGCTCTGCTATTTTTCGTTTTTCTGAGAAGCGTGGTATCCGCTTAACACTTGCAAGGAATTTCGTGCCAGTTGTTCATGCAGTGACTGACGACGATGAGGAATTGTGCCTGAAGTGAGTATGCGCCACAGTTATTGACTGAATAAGAACAATCTTTTGTAATGGGTTGGAGCATTGGGCGACCCACACGCTACCCTATTCGCATTGTGCGACGGCCGGCTAATTGTTTTTTCGCTGTTTTAAAACGCTTTATAATTTCTAATAACGCGATTGCTTTCCCGACATTATCCTTGCCTAAGGCAAGCTTGCCTACAAGTCCTAAGCACTGGTGTGGCTCAGTGGTAGAATACTGGCCAGGCACCCAGCGGACCCGGGCTCGAGCTCTACTGTGTATGTAATACCGATAAAACCCTAAGTACGTAATGTCTTGTGTTTCCTCCGCTTTGTCATGCACTTGTGGACAATCAAACCGAGTATTCTGTGCCTAACTTCACCCGTGTTCTATGTTCGACTAAATTCGACTAACTAAATCTAGATGCCAGTTTTTCTCAACGGTGTTTAAAATAGTACATCACTAACGCAGCTTGCTGTGCGAGTTGCTTCATAATATTCGAAAGAGGAATTCAACAAAAAACACGAAGACAACAAAGGAGAACGACCGCAGAGAGCAAGCATTGGACTTCAAACACAATGTTTATTGCAGAAAGCCCAGCCACACACAACCCAGCAACGCGTGTACAAATTATGCTATTTGAGTAATTTGACAATTGCACAGCGAAGGTGCACAGGTGTTACAAACAGAACATTTTCATGAAACACTATTGAGTCGACGCTACCATGCAATCACTATGTATAAACGCGAATGCTTTATCTGTAAGGAAAACTGA